GTGTGGATTTTTTGCCAGATAAATCTAATTTGGTGTACCCTTTACAATTTACCCATAAAACTTTTTCTAGCTTACAAATTGGGCGAACGTGTTTTTGTGTGTACATATACATGCGTGTGTGTAATGGTGTCCATGGGTCAGGTTGCCCACAGGTTCTATTACTCAATAAAAAAAAATAAGACCAAAATCGGATAAGCTCGATAGTTGGCCCACTCAAGCTCAATATACTTCAAGAAAAGGCTTGGGCCTATCCCAAACCTATAAATAGGCCCAAAATTCAGCCCAATAATTGTCCGCAAAAAAATCTATTAAAACCCAGCCCAAAATCCGCTCGCCCAACCTAAACCTAACAGCCCACCCACCTTTCCTTTCCTTTGAAAAAAGCTAAAGTTTGACAGGTTGGTGAGAAAAAGTTAAACCATTAACCATTTCCAAACTTAGCTCAATAACCCATTCATAAAAACTTGTTAAAACTCTCTCCAAAATCCTGATCGCCCAACCAAACTCCACTTGCTCGCTCGCCCTTCTTTTAAAAATGCTTTATACACATTAAATTTAAAACTTTGAAAAATTTGGATGGGGAAATGAAAAAAAAGTTTAAGTGCATCACTCGAGTCTTGGGTGTCTCCTGAAGACTTGCACCGTTGCGAATCTCTAAGTTCTGCCTGGGAACAAGTGAACAATGGTAACAAAAAAATGGAGTATTTTAAAAAATGACACGTGACACATCATACGATTGAGAAACTTGTTTATATATATATACAAGAAATGCATCGCATGTAGAATCAACAACTATACTCTCTAACTCCACAGCCCTAAATCCACCCCAAAAACAAAAGCTCTATGGAGTCTTCTTGCATCCCAATGATTGATGTTCAACACTTTTCACGACAATCTGGAAAACTCATAGCAGCATGTGAGGAGTGGGGATGTTTCAGAATCATCAACCATAAAATCCCATTCTCGTTAATGTCGGAAATGAAGGCGGTGGCCGAATGTCTTCTGAATCTCCCCATGGAAATCAAACTAAAGACTACAGGTGATGTTTTTGGCAAAGGTTAGGTACCACCTACGGAAACCAGTCCTCTTTGTGAATGCTTGGGTGTGTATGACATCGCTTTACCTGAGGCCTTCCACTCCTTTTGTGATCATCTAAATGTCTTTACTCACCAAAGGTACTATCATGGTTTCGTATGAAATACTAGTTTTATTTTTGACGCAGGGTAGCATGAATAAAGAAACGAGATTAAACAACAGAAGTCATATCCTGTTGAATATTGAAATAATATCAAATTAGAGTTTTCAAAAGTCTTGTTGACAATACAAAATACCAAGGCAATTGAGAAAAGAGAACTAGTCTCTAAGTTTTTATTCAAATTAAAAACAAAGCTACTGAATCATTTTTTCAAGACCACATAAATATGAAAACTTAAACGCCTCTAAATTACTAGAAAAAATCAAGCAAATAAACAAAATTACTAAGTACTAGTTCTATTTTATTTCCTTTTACTTGATTTACTTTGCACCTAATTTCTCACAGGGAGACAATACTGAGATACTTCAAGGCAGTAGAGGAGTTGGGCATGGATATCGGTGGCAAGTTGGTTGAAGCATTGGGGTTGGACATCCCTAAGTTTATGAAAGGATGGCCTTGCCAATTTCGAATGGTCAAATACAATTTCACTCCCGAGACTGTAGGATCAAATGGTGCCACAATGCACTCAGACTTGTCATATCTTACTATACTCTAGGATGATGAAAGTGTTGGTGGTCTAGAACTGTTAGACAAGCACTCTGGTGAACTAATAGATGTTGAACCCTCGTCGCCGGGTACCCTTCTTGTTGTCATTGGAGATATTGCTAAGGTATGAAACGTGTTTTTCTTCCTTATTATGATAATTCTTTGTTTTGTTGTCTTTCTTATGAAAAAGTACTTCTGATACTACTTTCTTATATGTCAAAGGCTTGGAGCAATGGAAGGTTTTATAATGTGAAGCACCGAGTGCAAGACAAGGAAGGGAAACCGCGTGTATCAGTTGTTACGTTCTTCCTAGGACCAAAGGAGGCGAAAGTAGAAGCACCATTAGAACTAGTGGGATTCGACCTCCCTAATCTCTATGTTCCTTTTGGTGTTGAAAAATATAGAATGCTTCGGATCTCCACAGGTTCATCAACTGGGGAAGTTCTTGAGCACTTCCGCACCACTAGCTCTATCAAAATATAGTATTCCAAACCCTTGAGAGGGGCATAGAGGCAAGATGGATATGCTAATATAATTTCAATCAGACCGGTCTTCTTCTTTGTGTATGAGTGCGCTTGCACAACAACTATGTGTGTTTTGTTTACCTTTTGTTTCACTTGGGCTGGGGGTGTTTGGGTTCAGTGTCTTGAATAAAGAAACAATTGGATGAACAAATAATAAAACAAGTCCCTTGCTATGTAGTGTGCTTGAATGTTTTAAATTCTTATTTTTATCAATGCCAATATGTTAAGAGCAATGCTATTAAGACCTAATTTATTGATCTAATTTACTATAACCATTAGATTGACTGTAGGTCATATCATACGAAGCACAGATACTTCGACAAGGTTAACGTACTTATATTGGATACTCATCATACGTATCCGATAATTAATAAAATATGTGGATATTTTGCGGATACTTATAAACAAGGAACAAGATTTACAATTTTTAATTTTAATCTATACTCTCTCCTTTCGAGTTCACGTACAATATAAAACATCAATAAAATTCCATCTAATTTTGAAGACACGAGTGTCTTTTAATTAATATCTACTATTATAGGTCAAAAGAGTATAAAAAAATTAGTTAGTTATACTATAATATTAAAAAAATACCTCTAAACAAACTAACTAATTAAATGTGATTTGCATTCTTTTAATTGGTCACACTTATTTCAATTTATGGATATATCTTAACGAGATGATATAACATATTTAGTAAATTATTTAGTAATCACAATCATTGACTGGATAGTGAATTATTTAGTAATTTGGACGTTATCAGTTGCTTGTTTGGGGTGGCATATGCAACTAGTCCCCTAGATTTAAAATACTTCGACCGGGGGGGGGGGGGGGGTCGAGACCAAGCCAATGTACGGATAATTTTGAATTCATACAATGTACCAGATATCTGATGAACCGAAGTCATCCCGCTAGGCATTTAATATATTATGCTTTGGTTTGTAAATAGATCTACCTAAACTGTTTTTAACAAGTAACTTGTGTTAATTAGTCTCCTCATAATGATTGGATTAAGATGGTTAGACCCTCTCTCATCATTTTTGACAACAAATTTATGTTTAAGAAAACAGTTGAGGATGAATACTCAATATTCAGGGAATTCCTGTTTATTATGTAGGTAGATAGTTTTCATGATAAACCAGCTATAGGATAAATAAACATGTAGGAAACTCCTGTTCAAATAGCAGGTTTAAATAAACATGTACTTAGATTAAGGTTCTATTGTATCACAAGTTTTCTTACATCAAATTAATAAGCAAAATGTGTATATTTGTGCCGGATAAAAGTCAGTATCTACATGCATTCTTAATTTTTACTTACAGGGTTTTTTTTTTGTTTGCAGGGGCTTTCTCATTGATATTCCAGCAATTAGACGTAGTTCTGAAAGATAAATTTTGTACTGAGAAGGCATCAGCAGCTACCTTGTACTCTAACTGTTCTTGATAACAGTGTATGATTTGCTGAACTCATACTTGTAAGATTAAAATTTGTACCATATTTTTGGCATATTTACAATGAAAATGTCAGAATTCAAATTGTACCAGTAGAGTGGCAAAAACGCAGATGGTGGTGATCATTCTGCTTGAGGATGTCTACATGTCTCTTCCTGTTTTTTGTTGTCTGATCATTCTGCTTGCTTGAGGGCCTATTTGCTTCACACAATCTTGTTCCTGTTCCATTCATCCCATACTGCCTGACCACACCCACATTCATGTTTCTTATATCTGACTCGTTGATCACATAATTTCACTGAGATTTCTGTTGGATATCTCTTACCTAGCCAGGTTTTAGGACAGCAGCTGAAATGACTCCTTTTCGGAAAATTAAGTTTGATGGATTTTTTATGGCTGCCCTTTGTGCTGTTTTAGGGTACTTTGTTCTTCTTAGGAAGAACAAAAATGGTGGTGGTGATTTCTAACCAAAATTGATTTGGGGGTTTTTTCTTGAAAATTTAGTGCGGAAAATATCTTTTCTTATTGAAAATTTCTAACCAACATGGTTGCTGAATTTAAGGCTATGTGGTAAGGTATGATTTGGAGGGATATCAAGCATTGATTGAATCAGACTCTTTAGTGGTGGTAAACGCTATTAAAGGTATGTTTCAGTGTTCTTGGCCTTATTTGGGGATTATGGAGCAGATTGGGAAGCTGTTAGCTGGGTTGCATTTTCAGTTGAGACATGTTTACCGAGAAGCAAACTTTGTGGCAGATAGCTTGGCCAATAAGGCGGTTCAGGATGGGTTGTCCTCTGACTATAGTTCGATTCAGTTGCCTGCACTGGTAAGGATGAAGCTTTTACAGGATCAAAGGTGCTTTCCTGCTTTGCGTGCAAAAACTGTGCTGCTTTTTGATGATGGTGGCTAAGGAGCTAGAGTGATGGTGGTGAAGGGGGTCTGCTGAAGCTTTTTGAGAGGCTTGTGGGTATCATTACGGGCATTTATTTATACGCAACGCTGGAAATCAGTTGTCCAGAAATAATAATTACTGACGTTTAAATAAACAACGTAATATAGCTCCGGTCAACAGAATTTAACAAAGAAGTCGTCGATTAAATAAACGTCGCTTTAGTGTTTAGTAAACATCACTTTTATTTTTGTAGCGTTTAATTATATGCTGATAATTTTTCCGACACAGGTTTTGATGGCGTAATTAACAAACATCAATAATAATATTTTACGGCGTTTATTCATGTCTATCGGCATTTATGAAACGCCGATAAATGTCTTTTTTCTTGCAATGAAAGGGATGGCGAAGAAGCCGGAGGACAAGAGGGTTGCGTCCAACTGCATGAAGGAAGCCGCGAATAGGTACCCGAATTTCATGGATGACGCAGCCCAGGCTCTTCCTGATAAGTGTGGTGTAAAGATGGATTTTCCAATCTCTAGACGCATCGACTGCGAGTTGTAAGCTTTTTTTCTATTATTATTTGAGTTTGACAGAACTGTTCATGAATAGTTTGAGATTGACTCGTATTGAAGGTCATTTAGGTGCGGATGAAATGCACTAATGTAGTTCAATTTTAAAACCCTTAGTTTGGTTGGCTTGTCTAGACTAGTGATTATGTGAAATATAAAGCGAATTGTAGGCACGATTAATTTTAAATTTTGTTGGTAATGATTTATTTGACTTGTCTAGCCTTGTATATATATATATTCATATACATATTTGAAGTTTCATATGAACGAGTTGAACTTGATAATGCGCAAATGCTGTGAACTTGAGTTTAAACAAGAACAGAATTCAAGCTCTAATAAAATATTCCTCTAGTAAAATACTTCAAATGGCTAGTCAGACCCATGTATGCTTACATTAAGATTCCAACGTGATTTAATATATGTTGAAGGAGTAGAGAGAGCTCTCTCTCTCTCTCTCTCTCTCTCTCCCTCTCTCTCTCTCTGCATATTTAAATAGAATTTAAACAGAGAAAATAAAAAGATCGTTTATATTAAACTTTGATATTGTCAAATTTGAATTATTACACATTCTTTATATTTAGTAGACTTTGGTATTGTCAAATTGAATTATTGCTGCCAGTTTAGTGTTATGTAAGGAATTTGTCCTTTTTTGAGGTGCTTGAGGTAATAATTAGATGTGCAATTTCACGGATTAACCCAAATTCAACTTGAATTTTAACTAAAACTCATTACAAGAATTAAGAGGAAGGAGTAGAGAGTCTTCTCACTCTCTCTCTCTCACACACTCAGGCATCTCATCTAATGGTAACAACCATGATTGCCAGTCTCCATATGACGACAAGAGACAACCACAACCACCACCCACGTTTTCTGTCACCGATCAACCGTCACCACTTACATCCTTTTTCTCCACAGTTTGCACCATGTATTCCGTCACATCTATCATCACCACCGACCTCATCTTTTTGTCCACAATCTAGACCGATCTCCGTATGATTTTGATTTTTTTTTCTTTGTTTCAATTTTGATTTCCTATTTTGTTTTGATTCTAATTTTTTATTTCCTTGTCAATTTTCAATTTGATTCTATTTTCAGTTTGATTTTTTTATTCATGTTTTGATTATTGGTGAAGAAAAGTGAAAGTGACATGTTGGGATATAAATTGAGTTTTGTTGAGGTTGAATTGTGAAAGTGCACTGGTTCTTGTGGTGTAGGTGATGGGCTGCCATTGATGGACATAGGCGCAGTGAATGTCAGAGTTGGGGTGGTTGGGCTGTCGAATTTAGTGGCGACGACGATGATGGTTGAGTTGCTAGAGTTATTTAATTTAAATTGATGGGTATTATGGTCATTTTATTGAAACTATTAATAGAGTTTAACGGCGTATTTTAGTCCAATAACTACAAGGGGGTTATGTGCAATTTTTTAGTAACAAATAGGTAATGTGCAAATGAATTAAACCATAAGGGGAACTTAAGTTTGGGATCTAAAAGGACTGTTTTCTTTCACCCCCACCCCAAGTGAAAGAAAAGGTAAACAAAACACACATAGGTGTTGTGCAAGCGCACTCATACACAGAGAAGAAGACTGGTCTGATTGAAATTATATTAGCATATTCATGTTGTCTCTATGCCCCTCCAAGGGTTTGTACTGCTGTATTTTGATAGAGTTGGTGGTGCGGAAGTGCTCAAGAGCTTCCCCAGTCAATGACCTTGTGGAGAGCCGAACCATTCTATATTCTTCAACATCAAAAGGAACATAGACATGCAGGAGGTTAGATCCCACTAGTTCTAATGGTGATTCCACTTTCACCTCCCTTGGTCCTACGAAGAATGAAACGACTGATACATGTGGTTTCCCTTCCTTGTTTTGTACTCGGTGCTTCAGATTATAAAACCTTCCATTGCTCCAAGCCTTTGACATATATATAAGAAGTACTTTTTCATAAGGAAGACAAGAAAGAATTATTGTAATATATATCCAAGGAAAAACAAGTATCATACCTTGGCAATATCTCCAAGAACGACAAGAAGGGTACCTGGCGGGGAGGGTTCAACTTCTATTATTTCACCAAACTTCTTGTCTACCAGGTCTAGACCACCAACACTTTCATCATCTTGGAGTATAGTAAGATATGACAAGTCTGTGTGAATCGCGGCACCATTTGATCCTACAGTTTCGGGTGTGAAATTGTATTTGAGAATTCGGAATTGGCAGGGCCATCCTTGCATAAACTCAGGGATGTCCAACCCCAATGCTTCAACCAACTTGCCACCGATATCCATGGCCAACTCCTCTAATGCCTTAAAGTATCTCAGTATTGTCTTCCTGTAAGAAATTAGGTGCAAATTAAATCAAGTAAAAGGGAGGAAAATTGATCCAGCATGTATAGCAAAAAACTATATGTCAAATCAAGACCGTCGAAAACAATGGTAATAGGGCACCAATCAAGACTAATTTTGGGCAACAATGTCAGAAATTTTTAGAAAATCTCATTCGGGAAGGCTCTCAACGATCTGAGTAAGATTAAAAGTTTTCATCCCATCATTTTTAAGCCAACAAATGACATTTAGGGCATTTGATCCCGCTGTTTGGGGCATTTTCATAATATTACTTATTTATTTGATTTTTCAATTAATTTAGGACCATTAAGGTTTTGTATTTTTATGGTCTTGAAAACTGATTCAGCAACTTTATTTGGTTTTGATTTCAAAAAAAACTTAGAGACAAGCTCTCTTTTCTTTCCAATTATGCCTTGATATTCTGCATAATCAACAAAACTTTTGAAAACTCTAATCTGATATTACTTTTGGAATCGAAATTACTGCTTGTCTCCTCTCCCCCACTTTGTGGACTGGTATTCTATCGTGCGAATCCTTGCTGTTGGAAACTACTGCGCTGACCCTAGGATTATTAGGGAGTGCTTAATTAGTATTCCTCCTTTCTACCGTTCTTTCACTTTACATTTTTCTTGTCAAGTCATGTCTACTCCTTTCAGAGTTACATGCTCCTCTGTTTTTCTCTTGGGGAAAAGGTCTACCGAAGATGACACTGATTTAGGGGATGTAGGCGAGGAAATTGACAATTTCTCCAGTGTGGATGCTGTCGATGCCGAGGAAAATACTGAGGAACCATCTCCGTCGTCTTCTTCTGCGCTCCCAAATCCTAACCAATGTAAGAGCAAGGTGAGTGGGATAGGAGTCTCTGACAGCGCAGCGGGCCCATGAGAATTCTCAAGCATCCACCTGTCGCAATACGATCGTTAGTAAATAGCTTGGTTCCGAGCTCCCAACTCCGGAACGAGTATCTGTACTAAGTTTGTTGATGTCGAGTTACCATCTATTCTGAGATGGATTATTGTGGGCTTCTATAGAACTGGATTGTAATCCAGCTCAAGCCTAGTGAAAACTATCTGGATGAGACGCTTAAGTCGTTTTGCGTATGATGAAAAAATTCAAAGAAACCATCTGAAATGGCTACTTTAGCATCACTAACCGTTAAAACTAAAAATCTTGATTTAATCAATCAAAATCATTAAATGAGTGGTGTAACGAGTCCCAATAAATTCAAGGACCAACAATTAAATGAATGTCAATGATTCATCAAATCAACATATTAAATCATTATTTTAAATCCATGTCATATTATTCTTTCTCACATGCACAACAATTTATTTTCAAGTTGCCCCACTCTTCTGCGCATGATGAAAACTGACCAATAACAATAAGGCACTATCTTTTCTCTTTCCAGACATATTTGAAAAAAAAAAAATCAAATTTGCAATCAAGTCCTCTACTCTTTTCTTCAAGCTTTTTCTTAAACTTTGAAGTTGAAACTTTAACAATAGTGCAACTCGAAACTTCAGTCGCCATAAACTACAAAAAATCATAAAAAGATACTTTGAAACACAATAAAACATTGATCTCAGCATGAATTATGAAGAATCTCCAATAGTAAGAGGGAGAAAAACAACCCATTCAAGAGAAACTCAATGCCAATCACTTCAGCCATCCACCCTCTTCAATGGTGTCCTTTCCGGTCTAAATTTGTTTGTTACTTTTTGAATAACACTCTCTCCCTCTCTCTCTCTCTCTCTCTCTCTCTCTCTCACACACACACACACACACACGCACACACTCACTTTTAAGAGGATCTCCGATAACTATTATAAAACTCTAAAATAGTTAAAATTTAACTAACTAAAGATAAAGGTCATGCTCCATCATAATATGTTCAGATGCTTTAAAATAATTGTTTGCTACACTGACACTTTAAATACAGAGTGTCATTATAGCAATTTGTATAAGTAATTTATAATTTATTTCTCCCCTTGTCCTTTCCCACCTCTCATGTCCATTCTTTCTCTCTCTCTCACCAACATTTGAACAAATGTACAAAAAATGAGAAATGATATTTAAAAGTAGTAGTTAAAATATAAAATATTTAAAAAATTGAGTTGCTAAAATAGAGAATATTGTTTTTTAGGTAATTAAACTAGTTTATACCTACAAATTTTGAAACGATTTTGAATGTCGTCGCCATTACAAATTTTGTAAGTTATTTTTACGGTTTTTATGCTAACTTGTAATAGATATTAAAAATGTTAGAAACGATTCTGACAAATCCAAAAAAATTACAACAAAGTGATAATTTGACCTAAAAAAATTTAACACAAACCTTAAAAATTTTAAGTTGAGCTAGAGTTATAAATTTTTTTTAGTAAAAACTAATCCAAAAAATTATATTAACACCCACAAAAATTATAAAATTTAGAGGTATCACAGAGCAAGAGTGAGCGCATAAAAACGAGAAAAAATTTAAAAAAATTTAGAACAAGCACATCTTGAAAGCGTCTTATTATATACATATATGCATATTTATAAAAATTAGTAAAAATTAAATTTTACATAGAGATATATGAAAAAATATTTTAAATTTAGTTAAATACATATCATTATCGGAGAATAAAAATTAAATAACTCTAAAAAAAATTTAAAATAACGATATATGATAAAAGAAAACTTAAATATAATAATTTATTTATGTCAATCTATCTATGACTTATGACAATATAAGGGTTATCCCGTGATTGAAAGAACGGTGCAAAGTAAATAATTTTGAGAGGGATGTTGGTGACCGTTGGATGAGTCTATTTGAAAGCGTCGGATTAATTTATTGAAGTCTGCCCTATTTTATATTATAAACTAGGATAACCTGTACCTAAAAATACACTACAAATATGAATGATTTTGAAAGAGATGCTGGTAATCGTTCGATGAGTCGATTTAAAACCATCAGATGGATTTATTGAAGTTTGTCTTATTTTATATTATAGAAGGTTGACTTTAACTTTGTCTTTTATGTGGGCCAAAAGACAAAAGAAAAAAATTTCAAGACACATAAAATGAAGAAAATGCATCCTATGCAAAATCAAGAACACTACTCTCCAACTCCACAACCCTAAATACTCTCCCCAAAAAAAAAAAAACATTTTATGAATATTTTGAAACTTTGAAAAAGTATGATAGGTAGGTGGGAAAAATGGGATAAAGTTAAGTGGATTACATTTGAGTTGAAAAAGTTTGAAAGGTGGATGGAAAAATGGTATAAAGTTGGGTGCATTACACTTGAGTCCTGACTGTCTCTTGCTTTTCTGTCTTGTATGGTTCCCATTTTTTGTATTTTTTTTTCTTTATTTTCATAATAGATATAAGAGTGGAAAGGGGTTCACTTAACTGTCAATCGTTACCAATCCATAAAATAGCAACACGTATATCACTGGTCCAACAGTTGAAGTTGTTGGGTGCAAATTTGGGGCACAAAAAATTACCATTTGACTTTTCTAAAAAATAAGTTTGGCAAGAGATGCAGAGAGGTCAATGTTTTAGTGGAAGCAAACACCACGGGACGGTGATCACATGGTGTGAATTAAAATCCAAAAAATTTTCAGAAAAAAAAAATTTTAAGAAGTGAGAAATTTTTTAGTGGTTTAACACTGTCATATAGTGTAAATTATCAATAAAAAATTATATATGTACAATAAATGTCTAGCACATATAAAAAAATGGCACGAAAATGAAAATGATACAACACAAAGTGACTTGACACAATTGAAATGTCTACTTATATTATATAAGAAATACATCCCATGCTCCACCCCTTCCCATGCAAAATAAACACTACTACTCTCCAACTCCACAACCTTAAATCCCCTCCAAAAAAGATCTATGAAGTCTTCTTGTATCCCTTTGGTTGACGTCCAAGACTTTGGAGGACAATCTGGAAAACTCATAGCAGCATGTGAGGAGTGCGGATGTTTCAGAATCATCAACCATA